GGACCCGCGGTGATGTAGGTCACCATTATATGGCCTTCGGGGTTGTATGAGTTCGAACCTCATCGGCATAAACGTCACTGCCTAATTTTCCCAATACCTAGTCATCTCAAGGCAGCCATTTGATTGGTCACGTACGTGTTCTGCAAAACTGGTTATATCGTTGAGTATTTTATTAAAAAAAGGCCAACGAGTTCTCACAACTAAGAACTAACAGAGCAGTAAAAATTCGGATTTGGCTGTAATCGTAGGAGGGAAGGGGGGAGAGAGATAAAGTCCACCAGAGCACAGCGTTGCCATCTGAGTCCAATGAGAGAACAGTGACGATGTTCTACGGGTCACATCAAACATGACCTGAGATTTTCATACGGTTGACCGGCATTGCATCTATTTCCAATCAAATATTTTCTTGTTTGACACTTTTAACTGGCTACGATAAAAAATTGAGTTTCTGGTCACATCCCGTGATATTGTTCAATGAGAGATAGGTGTGTGTTTTCAGATAAATATTGCTAAACGAAACCATATCCCTGTTTGATTTTGACTGTTTGCCCAGCTTGACAGTACTTTTGAAACAGACATGAAATTGCATTGTTTGTAATAACAAGTATTCACAAACACGGTACCCAGAAGCGAAAACAGACTTAATCAATCGACCTGATTTGTTATCCCGTGTCTTAGCCATATCTCGTGCCTGGGTTTTTTTTGTTCCGTGTTGTTGTTGTTGTTGTTGTTGTTGTTGTTCACAAGCCTAATCAGATCAGGCTTATCGAATTTTGCGTGGGGCTAGAGCGTGTGACAATGAAATTCTCATGTGCACCACTGGGATCGATAAACCACATCTCGTTCAACAGCGTGTGTACATACAATCCTCATTCGGGGTCCACTATATAGCTAATTGTATTTTGACTGAACTGGCAGATAGTTTTCGTCCAGCGGATCAGATGGCCTAGGTTTGCTCGGTTCCTGTTGTTGGTGGGGCTGGTGATACAAATTGCGGGCGAAGTGTGTGTGTGTGATTTGACTTGACTGTATGCGTGGATGAATATCGTTTGGATGACCGCCGCTTATTATAGTTGTCCCTACAGATGATGGATAGATGGATGAATCGGACGCATCCCGGGGCTAATGGCCTGCGTATGAAACGGGATTGAGAAAGTAGAACGGTTCACTTACGTGCACAATAACAACAACAATCCCCGTCAAACACTCTCATTTCAGCTACCGTGTAAACACACACACACAGGGTAACATAAAAGCACTTCCCTAGTACGGTGGACTGTGCCCTTTTGGCTTCTGTGCCAAATTTTTGACAAGGTTATCCAATTTGTCTACCGATTAGACGATGCCACGGGTAAATTTGGCTCCACGGGGTATGGGTGTTGGGTAGGCTAAATGGAAGCTGACAAAAAGTATATCGGGCTGTGTATGGGTTTCTGTGATGAGGCAAATCACATATTTCGTCCTAGTATGTAGTTTAAGCGGAAACCAGGAGGTTCGGTTGTTCAGACTTTCATCAAATTGCTTGATTTCACTTGTGGAAACGGCGCTATGTGTTGCCATCATTTGGACAAAATGTCATACGCCAGAACAAGGCAGGCGATATGGAACGAATGAAACATGACACTCGGATCTCAAACCAAGCCGTCTACCATTACGTGCTGGGAAATTTTTGCTCAATTCGGATCGCGGTAATTTATCAAGTCTAAATCTGTATTATCTCCCTCTCTCCTTACCATAAATTACGCGTAAAACCATGGTAATACACCCCTATTATATTTCTTTTGAGTTGTACAAATATCACAAATCCAAAGGACCATGTCTAAGGACCTAATATTATCTTACAATGACATGCTTAATTTGTTTATCTGCTATGAGACGATGAGTCGGCTTCAGTAGCATATTGAACCGTAGCTGCCCAAAACGGGGACAGGGGCTCTATTCTATTGTTCGTGAGATTTCATTTAACATAATTGGAATTTCAGGTGAAAGTTTACTCTTCGCTTTCGTAGAACATCTAAAAGGCTAGCAGTTTTTTCGCAATGTTGAGGTTGAATTCTTAAGCTATCACCCTAGTCATTGGGTCAAGATTATGATCGCATCAGCCCCGTTGTCTGCCAGAACTCTGTTTCAAAACCGCAACCTCGTTTGATCTAGCTTGCTTTAGCCGGGGTTATTGGGATGGACACATGCAAGCAGGTTCATGGAGCCAACAGTGAATTCTAATGGATGTTGGCTCTAGGAATGGGAAATAGAGCAGGTTTCTGAATTAGAGTGGGGCATCTACTCTCAGGAAGACTCCAATACTAAGGACAGATAACCGTTTATGGATCTATTCTACTTTCTCAGTCGACATTAGAGTGAACCCCAGCAAAGTAAGGATACGCAAAACTGATTTCCAGATAAGCGGCATGATCGATTGCGGTACAAACCATACGATTCACCAAATGTTATCACCATGGCCACATCACCACAAAGTGTACATAATTTGACTACGAAAGGATTGACTTATTACGAAATAACACTATGTGGGTACTTTATTGCAGTGGATTTGAATGAAACCAGGGGGAGGTTTGGGGAAATAAGTTTCAAACGGTAAACCCCAATCCAATCGCATAAAGTCGTGTCTGCGCAAGGGAAGTGACACATTTGACATCAAACTGAATAAAACCTTCATAGATCCCAACAGGTTGGTTTTGTCCAGGCTCAACAGTTGATCACCTCACCAGCGCGCGCGCACGCACACATCGACACACGTGTGCACGCACACACACAAGTGAAAGGTAATCTCTGGCTTAGACATCAGAAAACGGATTCACAGTAAATCTATCCGGTGTTACGCTTCCCTTTGCGAACGCGATCAATTCGGTTAATCGGACTGCTCGCCGAAGACCATACAATTGCTGTAAACGATCCATAGTTGGAAGAGTAAACAACAGGATTTAGAAATCGACTGACTGATAAACAATCTATCAAACTGTCTGAGAACAAACTGAGATGGCCACCTGTCTATATATTTATTTCAAATCATCCATGTAAATAGCACAAGAGAGATCGAACTCCCCTCCAATCAAGCATTCGACATCTTCGTCCAATGTAAATGATTAATCAAGCTTTCTATGTACTAACACGGGAAAAATGGAACTACTATGTGAGCGATTTTCTCGGAACTCGTTTTTTATTTTAATTGCCGAAAAACGAATCTGGGGACAGTATGAATAAAACTAAGCTGGGTGCGGAATAAACGAGAAAAATTGAGAAATGTAAGGTGGTTCCTTTATTGTTACCATGAGATCAGTGAAAAATTCATCAAAAGACTTAAAGAAGGAGCTGCTGACAGAAATAAAACTGATTTATTTGAAGGTTTTCAACATTTCCCCCGCCC